TTTAGTTACAAAAAAAATAACTTTTACATCAGACCTGCACATAAAAAAAAAATCACTTCTGATGTATTTGTGTATCTGTAACAGCAGTTCATCTTTCCAGACCTTTACTTGATGCATCAGTTCATTTGTGAGAAAAAGGGTAAAACTGTCCAACTGTTTTATAACCAGATATAAAATGACATTACAACCATAAAAAAGGAACCTGAAACAATCTATATACTCACAAAACCACATTATCTTCATAAAACAAATATGACAGTAAAACCTTTATCAACCAAATTAAAATGTGCAGGGTCTTGAACATTGCTTTAAAAATAAGAGAAGTATATTCTAATTTCTAATTCTTTAATACACCTAACTTGCCCTATTACATAATTAGGGATTTTACATTAACCTATTGCCCTATTACATAATTACAAACCAAAAGAAGATGCAAACCAGAACAATACCAAACATCACCCTAACCATGAATATATCAGTCTCCTTTTTGTCAATCACCTCAAACTTTATTAATTTCTTTTGCAGACCCATTTCTCCTTCTCCAGTTTCATATTCTTCTTGGACAGGATCATATCATACTTGAACAAATCCATATTCTTCCTATGCAACTCATGTACCACTGAAGACCCGAATCCCCATCCACCTATCAAAATATTTACAATCTTTTCAAGGATCCTACAAAAAGTTGAAGTATCTGAATAAAAATTAGAGAAACAGCAACAATCTTAAAAGAATTTCATATGATCGATCCCCCATTTCCGCAACACCAACTTAAAAAAAAAAAAAAAAAAAAAAAAAAAAAAAAAGAACGAGATCACTATTTTTGAAGCAGCAGAATGAGATGCACGCCATTTATGTTACCGGTTCTTTAAGGATGACCGGTTAAGTGCATTAAAACAATAAAGGTCAGAAATAATAATGGTTAATCTGTAAAAAATAAAAATAATAATATAAGGTTTTTTTTTAAAAAAATATTCGTGCATAATACATAGCGTTTTTCTATCTATGGTTTTCCCATTTATTTATCAAAATCTTTGATGTTCTAAAGCTTCTCTAAAGCCCTTCAACGCACAGACGAACCACAAAACCGACTAACATCTCCCTTGATCGATCTCTCGCTCTCGCTCTAGATCCATCAATGGCGCTCAATCTTCGTCAAAGACAGACAGGTGATTGATTTCTCTCCCCCCTATGTCTATTGCCCGATTTTCATGTATCTCAAGCTCCGATCGGATATGAAATTAAGCCTGAATGTCTATCACGATTAATATAAACATAAACCCACAGCAT